ACTTCTCCTTATGGAGGTGCACTCACTATCAACACCCCCTCACTTCTCCTTATGGAGGTACACTCAGTATCAACACCCCTTGCTTGGACAGAGGCAGGAAAACTCACTGTTGACTGCAGGGTGTAGAATAGGACTAGGTAATCTGGTCCAGTTTAAGTCTGACTAAAAAAGACAGAGGAGGGAGGGAGGAGGAAGGAAGGTGGGAGGAAAGAGGAGAGAAAGAGGGATATTTGACATAGTTTCAGATATGATGGGTGCAGAAACATAATGCACAGTGTATTTACAATATGGAAAAATCAATTAAGTAACTGTAACAACTGGGTAGAAACTGTGACCAAAGTACTATGTCACCATTCATGCTGTGCAGAACTTGACAACAGGTACCTGAATAAGAGAGAGAAAAAAGACCAAGTTATGAAAGAAACAAAGGTGACAAACCAGATCGAGAGCAGAAGGGACCATGGGCCTCCATGGTCACATACCAAGGCTGAAAGTGGCGTCTTTATACATCCATGTTAACGTCTGCCAACTGTAAAGATAGAATGGGCATCACGGAAGGATGAATTACAAGTCCAAATCTGAAATTCCCAAATGTAAGAATGATGAAAACAGAGGTTGTCTTTGTCAGTTTATTTTCTTTTTGTGGCATAATGTGTTCCGAACAGAGAGAAGCTTATTTATATTTTTTGTTTATTCAACTGAACTTGATTACTAATATTTATAGTTTTCATTCAAAAAAAAAAAAAAGGAAAAAACCACCCTTGAATACTGCCCAGATTCTACTGGTAATGTTATATAGCACACCATATATTTATTTGTTGTTTTCTAAAACAGGAACCAGTTTGAGTTCCAACAGTAATAATTTGGGCCAGTAAAAATTTGGAGGAAATGATGTAAATAAAGGATACAAAGAGATTATAACCATTAGAATAATTAACAGAATGGAAAAGGGTCCATTATTAAAATAATTGATGGTTCTAAAAGGAGGAAACAAAGGACATACAAATGTATCCAAAGATCTAATATAAGAGAGTGTCCTCGAGGTGAAGGAAACCCCCCAACCCCCCGACAGCATAATATAGCAAAAAAAAATTATTTGAAATGTTTGTCAAAAGTTCCGAGTCTCAGAGATAAAAGAATTATTTAACCATCCAGGCCAAAAATAAAAAAAGTAATTTATAAAGTAGAAGGAAAGAAGTTAGCTCCATACTTCACCCCAGCAATATGATGACAGAAAATGCCAGAGAGATGTCCACAGAGCCCTGATGGGGACTGACTATGGTCACAGTAGAGCCTGCGAAGACCAGCTGACTGGAAACGGGACAGACAGACAGCTTCATGTGCAAATTAAAGCAGAGACACACCTCACCCGGAAACAGCTTCACACTTTTCTGGATCATCCCAGAAATTAATTAAAAGCTTAGGCTCAACCAAAACTCACGGATAGAGTCACTGTGGTGCGCGCAATGGGCCATTTCAGGTTGCCTGGTCTACTTACTTACAGAACTTAACAAAGGCTACACGCAGCAGTTTTGTCTTTCCAAACAATGAAAAGACCACGGAATGCTGGGTTCCAGGGTCCTCCTATCTTACAAGTGGATGATATCCAGTATTTCACCTTTATATTTTAAAAATATTCTTTCAGGGGCCGGGGAGATTGGCTCAGCCAGTAAACAGCTTGCTGTGAGTTGGGTTCCTCTGGCACCCATGTGAAAAAGCTGGCGATTGGGGTGTGTGATTTTAACTCCAATGCTAGGGAAGGAAGGACAAGGAGGATCCCCAAAGCTTGCTGGGCAGCCAGTCCGGCTGAATTACCAGTTTCAGCCTCAGCAAGACATCCTGTCTCAAAAAACATGATGGGGAGCTTCCACACATCTCTACCCCCGCCCTACTCCCACACAATTATTCATGACTAATCTTTTATTGTCTTTTGCAGTCACCATGTAAAAATTCTGACAAAAGTTTTTTTTTTTTTTTTTAGTTTTTTTCTTGGCTCATCTTTGCACATTGTGTCTTGGTAAATTGAACTTCCTCCCTCTTGAAGTAAGTACATCCTTTGGCAGTTACTCTGAAGAGGAGAGGGCATGTCCTGTTTGTTTCTGTTTGGAAAGTCTGTATTTGGCCTTCATTTTGGGAAGTTAATTTCATGGGGCCCACAGGTACCTTAGCACTTTTAAAACAGGATTTTCTTAGCATTAGGTCTTGAGGGAAGTTGTTGAGGAGGCTCTGCCCACACTTACTGTTGTTCACCTGCAGGTAACGCCAATTTCCTCTTTGGATGCTTTAGGGGATCCCCTCAGGATGATTTCTTCTATACACAGGAAGTTTCTCCCTTTCCCACTTCTCTTGTCTGCTCTTTTTCTCCCCT